ACCATCGATCATGGCTCTGGCGTGATAGAACCTCCCATCTCACTGGCCGCCATCTTGTCCATGAGCGTCTTCACCTCGGCCACGACAGTGGACTCGTCCAAACCGAGGGGAGCGCAGGCGTGGGGCGCACGCGGTGCTGCAGTCGCGGAAGGTGAGGAAGCTGGTTGGCGTTGCCGTCGCAGCCGGTGTTACATAACGGCCGGCAGCGACGCTCCTCGGCGTCGTAGCAGAAGCGAAGCAAGCGCCCGAGGCAGAAGCCCGGTGCCCGCTCGGGGGCGCAGACCTCTGGCACGAGGAGGGAAGTGTCATGGTGAGCGGGGGGCAGGGGGGGGGGGGGGTGGGGGGGGGGGGGGGGGGGGGAGGGGGAGGGGGAAAGGGTTGAATCGAATGCATCTCTTTTGGATATGCTCGGGAGCATGCCGACCGTCGAGTTGTAAATCAAACGTAACGATCCAAACAAAGGCGACCTACGCAGTGGCTTCGTCATGACATCTGAAGACTGTGACGCTTTCAAATCAAATAGCGGTTGGCCCCATGAAGCACCAGCGTGCCTATTATCGGTTTCAACATTTCTGTTTTAGGCTCGTGCTCAAACACACAGCAACGCAGCGCCTCTCATGGTGCAGAAATGCACTGGATTTGGATCCAAAAGAACAATGACCCATTCTCCTCCATGCGATCCTATGACCAGGATGAGCTGCGATGCATCACGAATGAACATCTCTTGGGTATCTCGAAGCAGCAATAACACGGTGGTGAGACGGAGCGGACCGGGCGGATGCTCAGCCGTGATGTCTCCGCCCACAGAGTGCCCAACACGTGGTCAACTTCCGCGCACGACGGCACAACACGGGATCGGGGGTCACAGTGATCGATGCGACTCTCACCGTCAACTGTTATGGAAGACACTTCTAGATGATGCTGGTTATACTAGATCTTATGCTACGTGGATTCTGCAGAAAACTCGTCAATACAATCCTGGGAGGGCGGACCAATATTCAAGACAAGCACGGCAGCTGCAGCACGCGGCGAGTCAGTGAACCACCGAGTATGTCCGCGCTTGTTTGCCATCGTAGGCTCGAGCCTTACCTCTGTCACTGAGCTGTGGCAATTCCTCGGCCTGGCACATCTGCTGGCAGTCCGCGAGGTTCAGAAAGTTGTTTTCCGTCGGCACGCATCCCGTAAACGTGAACGAGACACAGCGGCCCAACGCAGAGTCGAAAAAATACCTGCGACATCAACACGCCGACCTTGTCATCGCTGCACCTGATCGTGTGACCGGACAGCAGACACGAGGCACATGGCGCGCGACCGGTGTCGCCGCTTAACGCTGCTCGATTCCACATTTAATGCTGCAGTTGGGGGACCGGAAGAAGTGGGCCAATGCACGCGCCAGTGGTGTCGTGCGCGGCGGTGCGTGAACTTGTATATTGTATTCTTTTCACGAGAGGGAATGTGAGGCTGGTGTTGGCAGACGAGTATACGTAATGCGCTCCTGTGGTAAACACGTCCTCTGCCCGGTGGGCATGACCGGTGTATATACAGCATGCTCTCCTCCCACATCGCTTTCCTGGCGTGCTTGAGAACAGTGCACATTGCAAGGTCAGACGTCAGCAGCTGGTGTGCACCGTCAGCACGCGGCTCCCGGATGTCCAGACCCGGTCCTCAGGCGCCGTGACCCGGTCCTCAGACGCCGTGACTACTCCTCAGATGTTCTGACGCGCTTCTCAGACGCTGTGACCCATTACTCAGGTGGGCCGACCCGGGCGTGGGATGTCCTGCCTCAGTTCCCATACCATGCCAAGTGCCTCGGCTATTTCGACTCGGACCGGGTCACGGGTGATGACTAACGCTCCGTAAGTCGTCGGTTGACATGGGGGAAAGCCTCGACAAACGTTACGAGAAAGTAGTTCACCCAGGCCGTTAACGTGAGCAATATATCAACGTTGCATCTGATGACCGATGTCGCCATTGCTCACCTGTCTCCCAGGGTCTCAAAGGCTCTCCTGCCGTGCGGTTCCCAGACGCTACCGTACAATCATACACCAACAGCTCCTCAGATATGAAGGCGAACGACTCCTTGCCCAGTCTCCCGCATCTCAACATTGACCTACCCCACCTGAGTTCTGAGAACCTCACGACGGTCACCCGACCTCTCATTCCTCATCCTGTCCCATCCCCTCTGGTGCATCTAATCGCTCAAAAGCTCCATTAGCCAGCCAACACCTCGCCCCTAACTGTCCCCTCCCAGCCCCGCCAGCGCCTCCGCCCCCCCCCCCCCCTGCCTCGCGGCCTGGCCGGAGGGCCGACGCTCACCTGGACTCGCGGACCCCGCAGTTGACTGCGTCGTCCTCGACGGGCGGCAGCAGACACACCTCCTGGCTGTCGACGGCGGCGCCGCTGCCGCAGCTCAGCAGGCACGCGCGCTCCGACTTGAAACGGTTCTGGTTACCGCCGCAGCCCGAGTAGGTGAAGCGGCGGCAGCGGTTGGTCGCCGTGTCGTACGCAAACCTCGCCAGTCGGCCGTCGCAGCGGCCCGACTCCTGCCGCTGTGTGCACTGGTCTGCCGAGGAGGGGACGAGGTCACTGGTCAGCGGCGTAGGGGACGGGGTCACTGGTCAGCGGAGGAGGGGACAGGGACGGGGTCACCAGTCTACGGAGGAGGGGACAGGGCCACTGGTCAGCGGAGGAGGGGACGGGGTCACTAGTCTGCAGAAGAAGGGACAGGGCCACTGGTCAGCGGAGGAGGGGACAGGGACGGGGTCACCAGTCTACGGAGGAGGGACGGGGTCACTGGTCTGCGGAGAACGGGACGGGGTCACTGGTCTGCAGAGGAGGGGACAGGGCCACTGGTCAGCGGAGGAGGGGACGGGGTCACTGGTCAGCGAGGAGGGGACAGGGACGGGGTCACCAGTCTACGGAGGAGGGGACAGGGCCACTGGTCAGAGGAGGAGGGGACGGGGTCACTAGTCTGCAGAAGAAGGGACAGGGCCACTGGTCAGCGGAGGAGGGGACAGGGACGGGGTCACCAGTCTACGGAGGAGGGACGGGGTCACTGGTCGGACGGGGACGGGACGGGTTACTAGTCTGCAGAGAGGGACAGGGCCACTGGTCAGCGGAGAGGGAGGGACGGGGTCCAGTCTGCAGAGGAGGGACAGGGAGGGGTCACGGCGGAGGGGACGGGGTCACTGGTCTGCAGAGGAGGGACAGGGCCACTGGTCAGCGGAGGAGGGGACGGGGTCACTGTCTGCAGAGGAGGGACAGGGCCACTGGTCAGCGGAGGAGGGGACGGGGTCACTAGTCTGCAGAGGAGGGAACGGGGTCAGTGGTCTGTGGCGAGGGGACGGGATCACCGCTTTGCGACGGCGGTATGATGGAACTGGTCTTCTGTGAAGGGAGAAGGGTATCACTGATCTTTAGTGGATGGTAGGACAGGTTCCACTGGTCTGGAATGGAGGGGAGGGGAGGGTGTAAGTGGTCCATAGTAGACAGGAGCGGTACCACTGATGTAGAGTGGAGGTGGGAGGTGTCCGGGTGTACCGCAGAATGGGCGGGGTGCCAATGGTGTGCGGCGGAGGGTGTGTGGGCTACCACTGGTGTGCGTCAGAAGGTGTGTGGGCTACCACTGGTGTGCGGCGGAGGGTGTGCAGGCTACCAATGGTGTGCGGCGGAGGGTGTGCGGCGGGGGTGTGTGGGCTGCCACTGGTGTGGCGTGGACAGAGGAAGTTACTGCTGGTCTGTAGAGGAGGGCAGCCGTATTGCCGATCTGGTGGGGGTGAAAATGTAATTGGTCTCATTGGAACGAGAGGAAGGTGTCACTGTCTGAAGCGAACGATAGGGACATTAATATTCTGGGGTGGCGTTGGTGCCATGGATCGGCCCTGAGATGGTTGGAGAGAAATATAAGGTGAGAGCTGTGCGTACAACGCTCGAAGAGGTCGACTGCTTCTGTAAGAAACGTAATGGTGGCTTGGTGCAAGGTAGCAAAGATTGATTGAGCTGTTAAGGGGAGGGGGAGGTGATTTATTTTACTTTAATCTATGCAGCAAGTAAATACGTTGTATTGTGTAAAAGAACTGTGGTGGGTCGCATTGGGTGAACATAACGTTCCATTGGATTAGATAGCACTTATCAGGATTGACATTGCACATGTCGCGTTACACATAACCTGACCTTTCGCGTCATGGATGCAACTGAGAAGATGCAGCCACCACATTTCGGGTGTATTGTCCGGTAGCAGCCATTATACATAAGACGAAAACTGTGAAGGTTAAACATTCTCTGTGAACCAATGAGAGTTAAATACGCGCAGGCGCCCGAACACAGCTAACTGAAATATGCAAGAGCTTAAGTTGGCAACGGAGTCTTTCGAAGTGAAATGAAATGCATAACAGCTAGTTGAAGTCAGCACTTACCTCTCGGTTGGCATGTATCCCTGCACTCCTCCCTGGTCATGAAGTTATTGCTTGTTCAGTGCAACCCGTGTATGTGAACGGAACGCAGAATCCCCGACGACTCGAATACCTGCAAACGCAAAATAATTTAGCAGTCATCTTAACGAGTTGTGAAGACAGGGAAACGGTATTCTTTGCCTTCCAGATGCTTTGAGCTACAAGGAAACTAGGCGAGATGTGTGAAAGTTGCCTATGTACCTAAGTTGCGCCTATGCACTTATGCATTCTAGGTGGTCACAAATATCCATACCACTTCCCAATTTCCCGGGGAAATTTTGAGAACTTAGCCACTCGTAATACAAATTTATATCGGTTCAGCATAATGCTAAATACGAACGTCAGCGAACCTTGCAAAGACTCACTCCCGTGCCAACGTCTCACACGTGGAAGACTACCCCGTGATCAAGCACCCCAGGCCGATCGAACAAAGCCACACAAGACCCCGTCCCACACTTTCAGGAGACCTTCGCTCATGTCGGCCAACCACCTTGCCTGCCCAGTCCCTGCCTGCCACCCCACCTCTTCTGCGCCCTCCCCGTCCTCCTCTCACGTGTATCGCTTCTGCTGGCGGCCGCAGCTGGACGTGTCGGCCGGCTTCTGCTCGGGCGCCTCCAGGCAGCGCTGCTGCGTCGGCGGCCGGCCGCCCTCCGAGTCCCGTCCCCGGCACGCCGCCTGCAGTCCCGCAGCGAGCGGGAAGGTTATTGGCCGTGGCGCCGCAGCCCGAGTAGCGGAAGGAGCGGCACCGCGCCGCTGCCAGGTCCCAGAAGAAGCGTGTCCACCTCGTCCCGGCACGGGCGGTGTCGTTCGTCTCCGGCGGCTGCGGACAAGTCATGTCAGGGTCAGATCAGGTCAGGCCAAGCAAGAGAGGTCACCTCGTCCCGGCACCGCCGTTCGTTCGTCTCCGGCGGCTGCGGACAGGTCAGGCCAGGTCAAATAGATCAAATCAGGGTCAGATCAGGTCAGATATGAGCGGTTGCCTAACCCTGCACGGACGGCAGTTCGTCTCCGGTGGCCGCGGACGGGTCAAGTCAGGTCAAAGAGATAATTTTGCGTGGGCATGATTGGTGTCGCTCATCTCCGCTGTCTACGGGAAAGGTCAGGCCAGGTTATAGTGACTTGGAAACTTGGAAGTCGCGCACAGCTGGCAACTGGCTTTAACGACTGGTTGTAGATCACATTAGGTGCGGTAAGCAATATGCAAAGAACGAAAAGACTCCGGCAGCATCCGTTCTCCAGCCTGCGCTACTCAATCCCGGGTGAGACTAATGGGATACAAAGTTTCCTGGCACACATACCGCTCTCGTCTTGACATCTCACGATGGCGGCTTGTTTCTTGTGGTCCTCACCGACCCCCGGACCCTCGTCTCGCTTTTACCTGGCTGAAAATGCCAGCCTGATGTCTTTTTCAGCGAGTCACTTTTTTGTTCTTGTCTCGTTGTTACCTGCTAGCAGACTTATCGTGTCTGGTTTTCACCTGGCCGCATATATTGTTGTCGTCTTGCTCCTACCTGTCACAGGCTATAAATCTGTTGCCGTTTTGTAGTTATCTGGTTTCTGGCAAATTCCCATCTCGGTTTCACCCACCCAATTTTGGTCTTATTCTCGCTTTTTTCGTCGTCTGCCCGCAGCTGCGCCCTACTCCCGTTCTCACTTGGTTGCAGATCTCGTTCTCGGCCCGGTTGTCGTTCTGACAGCGCTCTAAACATTCCGCTCGCGTCAGAAAGTTGTTGCTGTTGCCCTCGCAGCCGCCATACTGGAAGGTCTCGCAGGTGCCCGAAGCCGGGTCTCGGTACCAGCGCGTCTCGAAGGCGGTGCACGGGCCCGGGTCAGACGGCAACGAGCACATCCCAGCACCTGGTGGAGAGACGGACAGTGAAGAGGCAGGCGACAGCAGCTCGTACCCCGGATCGTGTTGGAACTGTGCAGATACTACCTGGGGTGCAGCCGACTTCGCATATTGTCTGTTCAGACGACCGTGGCGGCTCGTGTGCGGTACATCGCTGATCAGAAATAGTGTATGTGCACCTTTCATTTAATGTGCCATTCGTTACGGTTTACCATAATGCTATTGAAAGGTCCGCGATGAATGGTTCTTTTTGGTTGCGTGGAATGCAGCTACGCTTCAAACCGTAAATAATCGTTATATTCCCGCACGGATAATTTGGCTGATTTTGCACAAACAAAATTTGTCAAGAAAAGCTTCGATATGTGGCGTTCCGATTTGGTTCATGTTGTGGCCACAGAACGAAGAACCTCGCACGATTCAACGAAATACGGGATGCGAAGCTAGGAAACTACGACGGAGATCACCAAGATTTGTATTCCGTCAAACGAAGACAGCGTGGTTCGTTATGGATACCCGAACTGTGCTGCGTTTCTTTTAAGATCTTGTCCGAATTGTGTCAGTAGCTGACTGGCTATTGCAGTAAGTAGTATGGCAGGCACTACCACCGGAGCGGCCGAATAGGTCTACAGTGTTGCTTTTTTTGGAAGAGGGTCCATGGCTAACCCACTAGGAGGGGCATGCATACACATAAACATCCTTGATGCGCTGCAGACATGGAACTGATCGTTACCAGCGATAGATACACTCCAGACTGGAAATGTCAGCTGTTGAACATTCTACACCAAGAATACCCACCTTCCGTGTTGCTGGCATCGCAAGCCTCCCTACACTCCCGCATTGTGAAGAACATATTCCTGCCTCGTTCGCATCCGAACGACGCGAAGGAGCGACATCTCCCGTCAGCGGCGCTGAAGTAGTACTTGGTTTCACGACCACCAGGCCGGCAGTTGGAGATGGCTTCGGGCTCGGCACGGCAGAACTGGGGCCTCTCACCACCACCTGAATGAACAGAAGTTGGGCCATGGTATGTGGGCCCCGTACGTTTGGCATCCCAAGGTCGAACTGCTCATCCCAAGGCTCATGTTTTGACATCCCAAGGCTCATGTTTGAGGACTGTGATTGCCGTCCGTCTTTTCCGTAATAATGTTATGTAAGACATGCTATAATATAAGCCTCCCAGCGCCGGGTCAGCTGAAAGGTCAGGTTGCCTAACGGGTCAACACCTCACTCGTGCCCGGGTCCGCCGAGGCGGACAGTGTTTAGTAGACGCCCGTGCATGCGCACCGCTGTTGTAGCGCAATAGCCGAGCCGAGCCGATATCCAGCCGGCGAGAATAACGCATGCCATAACATTGATGGCTTTCAAAATGAAAAGCGTGCTTTGTTGCGTAGGGTACCTAAAGCTCTGCAACAATCCTATCATTACACATTTTGCTGCGCCGTGATTGAACTGCAGCTTGCTGTTGGAGCCGGACTGTCTCCATCTAACAATGTCCCCACTCCCAAACCCACCGAAGCACTCGGCAGCGCTGCCAGATGCGCGATAGTCCTGCACCGGTCAACAGCCGGACGCCCTCCTCACCTTCGTCACGGCCACTGCATGCCTGCTCGCACTCCCGCCGCGTCAAGAACACGTTTCTGCCCCGCTCGCAGTCGACCGATACGAAAGAGCGACATCTACCGACGGCAGCGCTGAAGTAATACTTGGTCTGGCGGTCACCAGGCAGGCAGTTCGGATCATCTTCGGGTTCTGCGCGGCAAAACTGCGGGATACCGCCGCCACCATTATCTGAAAAAACGATTTTAGAGCAATTAACGGACCAAATGCGCAAAAAGCTAGTCGTTGCACCATCATCGTTGGAAGCGAATGAGGCCTTTATTGGATGGGTAAGACGATGCGCTACATCAGCCTACACTTCGATGAAAAAGATTATGTGCTGTACTTCCCTTGTCTAGCTTCATCTTGCCTCCTCACGACACCCCAGTTATCCAGAGCTGGCTACACGCACCTAGGCTACACGCACCTAGCAGTAGGACGGGCCCCCTGGCGGGTGCCCAGTGTGAGGGCAGAGCACGTATCCTGAACGGGGCTCCCTGTGCGGACCGAGCCTTGGCGGAGGACCCGCAGTGGATGCAGTGTTGTCCCACCAGTATCCACTTGCCTTCATCTCGTGGCACCGAAATGATCATTAGTGACCGAGAAGGCTCTTATCAAACCAACACCAATCTGAGGAAAGAGACTCACGGTCGCTCTCACCTGTGTCTCGGTTCTCGCACACCTCCTCGCATTCCCGAGCGGTGAGGAACACGTTTCTCCCACGCTCGCAGCCAACGGACACAAATGAGCGACATCTGCCGACGGCAGTGCTGAAGTAGTACTTGGTCTCGCGGCGACCAGGGCGGCAGTTGGGGTCCTCTTCGGGCTCAACACGACAGAGCCGGGGCTGGTTTTCAACTTCACCACCTGATGGGCACACAACACGTTAGCAGCTGTATACTTAGCAGTGAAAACGGTTGAGTTGTCTAATATGTATGTCCAAATATATCTTCAAATGGCGGTCAATTGGTTTCCTTGCGAGGATATCGCTGCAAGATCCACCCCATTTCGCTCTTTTGGGTTTTTCACCCACTGCCCCTCCCTCACCGGCATCGCGGTCGCCGCAAGCTTGTTCACATTCCCTTCGCGTCAGGAACACGTTTCTGCCTCGCTCGCAGCCGACCGATTCGAATGAGCGGCATCTGCCGGCCGTGGCGCTGAAGTAGAACTTGGTCTCCCGGCTGCCAGGGCGACATCCTGCAATATCCTCCGGTTGGACTCGACAGAACTGCGGTCTTTCGTCCTCTCTTTCACCTGTGGACAACACAAAATGAGAGTTCGATACTGGTGTAGTGCACTTCCAATGTCACATGTAGAACTTCGGCATGAGCTTCCTCTGAGGGCACCCTCCATACCTCTATGCATGCCTGTAGGTATCACACATGCCTGCATGTATACATGCATATAAATGTACCTATGATACTTCATACACATACATAACATAAACAGAATATATTTTCAGCCATGAGATGCAAAGCTAATCCACTGTGGAAGAAGCTCGGCTCCTCCGTATACTAACAGTTCAGGGTTTTAGTACATACACTCATAAGTCACACCTTTAATGATGTGACCAGGATGTTACCCAGGATGAGGCCAGATCGTAAAATATGGCGCTGTTTCAGCCAGGTTGCACCACTTTGTCGCAATATTGAACCATTTTTTGAATTTGGAGACGCTGTTAGGTTCGAGGCCCATTTTAATGCTCTGACGGCCAGCGTCATTTTTAAACATATCAAAACCACTCCGCGCGTCTAAAGCTGCCAAAACGTGCTCGGGCTTTCGGCTCCAGGGAACCCCGCCGCCACCTCCAAATGGCCACGACCCAAAAGGCCCCTGCATTGACTACCTGGTCTACTCATTGTATATATAAACGAGCTTGATGATGACCTGGCAACTCTTTGTAAAATATTTTGTCCGAGCCTTCTGAATGTATTGTCTGTGATCAGAGTTCATGCCACCAGTGCTCGCTGCGTGAGCCCTAGCCCCGACACCAGATCGTAAATATACAGGGCAACGGCAGAATTAAAGGAGGAAAGCTTAACGCACCGCCATGCTACGCTCGGTTCGTCACGATCTTTGACGTCACTTAACCTTTAGGGTGGCCACTGCCACCGGCCATTCCTGTCAACAGCAAATAGCGAGAACCTAAAGCGGCTCGAATCCCCCCGCCCCCCGTCACGGGTGGGTAGATCGGAAGATAGACGCTCTAACCAACCACGCTATTGGGACGGACAGCGAGAACGGCTGCACTGCCCTTACAAGTCAGCCGGTTCGGAGATAACGCCGTTAGCAGACATTTCAGTCAACAAGAGCACACCGAACGGGATGGCTCCGACCGTGACCCAACTCTCACTCCAGCGATCTAACCCTCCCCCTCTGCCTCCTCTGCACTCACCGACGCGCTCCCGGGCGCGCAGACGGAGAGACAAGATTCCCGGCTGGTGAACATGTTGTCGCCGCTGTCGCAGCCGCGGTAGGTGAAGCTGTCGCAGGAGCGGCGCTCGCGGTTGAAGTAGAAGCGCTGTTCGCCGCCTGACGGCCGACAGCCGCAGGCGCGCGGCGGCAGCTGACAGAACTCCGGCGGACCGCGGTCCTCGCGCCTGGTGGCAGCGGCGGCGCAGCTGAGCTCCGAGTGGAGCAGCACAGGGCGAGTCCACTAGACGACCGAGTGAGTCCACCGCCGGGTGAGAGAAGGCGGGAAGAACGGAGCCGTTGACCGACTGCGTGGGTAGTTTCCACAGCAAGAGGATTGGTCAGCCGTTGTACAGACTTACTGGTGCTTACTGTGTAAGTAACTGGTGCTTACTGAAAAGACTGGTAAACACGCAATAGCCAAGACAATTTTTTCCAAAAAAGGAGAGGAAACCACTTTGCCTTGGTAGTATTGACTATATGTGACTATAGTTCCCACGCCAGGGCGACAAAAAGGGCGGCATGAAAAGGGCTGGCTGACTGTTTTTGCTCGTTCATGTAATAGGGAGTAAGACATGCTGGTCAGCACTCGATAAATACAGCTGCACAAGAGCTTCCTCTTCTAGGTAAAGCCTCGGGGCAATATTTTCATTCACATGGTGAACGTAGAAGCAGTGGGTTATTCACGCCCGTACATGGAGAGGAACACACGAGCTGCCGTGGTAAGAAGGCGACCAGCACATCTGCACCCTCCCCCGCTCTGCCTCTCTCTCCCCCTGCCCCGCTCTGTAAGCCTCACCTTGGCTAACGTCCCGCCACAGCGAGACTGACACTCCGCGCGCGACTCGAAATTGTTGGCGTTGCCGTCACAGCCCGTGTAGAAGAACCACTCGCATCGGCCGGTGTCAGTGCTGAACGCCAGCGGCGCAGTCTACCCCTGCAGGTGCTGCCGGGTTCTACGGGCAGCCGGCAGATGGCTCCTCCTTCCCACCGCCCGCGCAGCTCTGCAACACTCCTGCCACTGCGCAAAATCGCCCGTCAGTTTGATCTAAAAGTCAACAGTACTCAAATCCCATTTGCCCAGAAGCACGTCACATGGCTTAACGGAAACTACCTCGCATGCATTCCAACAAGAGACAGGCGGGCGGGTAGGACGGCAGGTAGCCCTGAAAACGACGGATTCAGGTAGACATTAGAAACAAGCATCCGCCGTTCGTATCTCAGTCTTTCTTCGTCCTGCACATCCTGGCACCCCAGTTCTCTGGGGAAGGCTGCCTGCGCACATGCGCAGATTTAAGTGCATTCAGGTGAGGACCCGGTCCGAAGGCCGAGCACACATCCCGCACAGAAGTCACGGCGGAGTCTCGGCAGAGGACCCCCGCAAGCGAGCAGCTTTGTCTAAATACTATTCACTCTCCTTCATTCCAACGAACTAAAATTGTCGTCAACACCTCTAGTCCATACCAAACCAAAATTGGAAGCAGACCTGCATCTCTCATAGCGATACGCGCAGTCCAATTGAGAATCAATGACAAGCCGCTATATGCTGGTGAACCAGCATCCTCTGTCTGGCTTAGGCGCACACTTCATCTTCGTCTTGCCCACGATGCATGCAAATCAGTTGAAGCAACGGCCTGGTCACCTCAAAAACAAAAAGGTTTTCGTTTGTTATTTACATAAAAAAGGATATATATATATACATATATATATATATATATATACATATATATATATATATATATCTATATATAATATATATATATATATATATATATACGAAGGACTATGACCACTCACCTATCACCTAAACAAATAAAAGGCTTCAGTTTGTATCTGAATATATATCTATATTATTATATAGATATCATATTATATAGATATATTCTACCTATATATATATATACCATATATCATATACCTATATACATATATCTATCATATACATATATACATATACACACAATATATCTATCTATATAATATAATATATATATATACTATATATATATAATTATATATATATATATCATTGAAGGACTATGACCAGCTCACCCATATCACCTAACAAATAAAAAGGCTTCAGTTTTCTCTCTCTCGCTCTCGCTTCCCCTCTTGTCTCTCTCTCTCTCCTCTCTCTCTCTCTCTCTCTCTCTCTCTCTCTCTCTCTCTCTCTCTCTCTCTCTCTCTCTCTCTCTCTCTCTCTCTCTCTCTCTCTCTCTCTCTCTCTCTCTCTCTCTCTCTCTCTCTCTCTCTCTCATCTCTCTCTCAATCTGATACATCACTGCTTGTTTTTTCGTGTGACGTTTGTCGGCATGTGCCTACAGCGGACGTCCAAAGGCCAGCCCCACCTCTCTGGTGGAGTACATGTTGTCGCCGCTGAGGCAGCCGTCGTCAACCAGTGTGAGGCACACGCCGCGGTTAGCCGCGTAGAAGAAGACGGTGCGCTGGCGGCCGGGCGTGCAGCCGAACACCGGGCGCGGCTCGCGGTCACAGGAGGCCGGGCCCGGCCGCGGCCGATCTGGCCCGG